TTTTCAGGCCATTTAAACTGTTTTTGCTACTGTAAATTAAGGCCATCTATATGTAATTTACCTATTGATTGGATAACCAACTAACATTTAGAGTCAGCATGAAAATTCACTTTGATGATCTTATTGTGAACGATTCATCCCTGCATATGTTTCATTTGTCTTGACATCATAACTTTGAATCAAAATGTTATAACTTGATCTTCCGGTAAAATTACTTCTCCAATCATTTAGCCCACTTAAAACCCGCCCCTTTCTGCAAACTCATATCCAGATCCGTCTCCATCTAATCAACAACCAATTAATAAAACCATCAATAATCCATTTCACTTGGATCTATCACAATATAAAAATGCACAATACAGAAAAATGTCTGTTGTTACATCCGTTTAATCGCAACATTAAGATATCTATATGTAAATGACCTCAGTTTTGATTAGCTAACCTTGTTTCAGGTAAAATGAGGAACACTTTCATTTCAAAAGATTCTGCATTATTTTCCATTACTTGTCTCCTTTAAAATGGAAGCAACACTTCCACTTGATGTTGCCCATTTGTTTTCAAGTACAGCACTAAACCCGAGGGCCATTGTTATTTACACGAGTACAGCATATATGTTCACGTCTGTTCATGTGGTGTTACATGAGCTTGTGTATGTGTGCTCAGGGCTTGGCAGAGAAACACCAGAAGACACTGGCATTGCTACGGAAACAGCAGACGGTGATTCTTGACGACGAGCTGATTCAGTGGAAGAGACGTCAACAACTGGCTGGCAACGGCGGGCCGCCCGAGGGAGGACTGGACATACTACAGTCATGGTGCGCACACGTATACTTAGCCTAACTGAGGACATACCATAGACATCTGTTGTTTTTAAAGCTAAAGCTAATTATAAATACTACAGATTAAGCCAAACCGTTTATTTTATTTTCATATAGGGAGGTTTTCTTATATTTAGCTATATTCTGGGGCAAATTTGTCCCAGTGCATAGTTAAATAAAGCAATACACACACTAAGACACTAAGTTATGCAAATAATCAGAGGCATGCGCATGTTGTGGTGCGTTTACATTACACATACACAACATATGCAGAGAGCAGCTCTGTAGTTTATGCTTCGGGTTGGCATTTCTGCGTGTGTTTGTGCACAGGTGTGAGAAGCTAGCGGAAACCATTTGGCAGAATCGTCAGCAGATCCGGAGGGCGGAGCATCTGAGACAGCAGCTGCCCATTCCCGGCCCCATCGAAGAGCTGCTGACCGAACTCAACAGCACCATCACGGACATCATCTCGACTTTAGTCACCAGGTGTGTGTTTGTGTGGGGGAGAGAGAGAATAGCAGTGAGGTTAAGTGATTGCAAAGTACAGTAACACAACCAATATCCTCCCTGTAATCAACATCATGCATTTTTACTATATGTGACCCTGGACCACAAAACCAGTCTTAAGTCACTGGGGTATATTTGTAGCAATAGCCAAAAAAACATTGTATGGGTGAAAATTATTGATTTTTCTTTTATGCCAAAAATCATTAGGATATTAAGTAAAGATCATGTTCCATGAAGATATTTAGTAAATTTCCTACTGTAAATATATTAAAACTTAATTTTTGATTAGTAATATTATGCATTGCTAAGAACTGCATTTGGACAACTTTAAAGGTGATTTTCTCAATATTTTGATTTTTTTGCACCCTCAGATTACCAGAAGACACTGGCATTGCTACGGAAACAGCAGACGGTGATTCTTGACGACGAGCTGATTCAGTGGAAGAGACGTCAACAACTGGCTGGCAACGGCGGGCCGCCCGAGGGAGGACTGGACATACTACAGTCATGGTGCGCACACGTATACTTAGCCTAACTGAGGACATACCATAGACATCTGTTGTTTTTAAAGCTAAAGCTAATTATAAATACTACAGATTAAGCCAAACCGTTTATTTTATTTTCATATAGGGAGGTTTTCTTATATTTAGCTATATTCTGGGGCAAATTTGTCCCAGTGCATAGTTAAATAAAGCAATACACACACTAAGACACTAAGTTATGCAAATAATCAGAGGCATGCGCATGTTGTGGTGCGTTTACATTACACATACACAACATATGCAGAGAGCAGCTCTGTAGTTTATGCTTCGGGTTGGCATTTCTGCGTGTGTTTGTGCACAGGTGTGAGAAGCTAGCGGAAACCATTTGGCAGAATCGTCAGCAGATCCGGAGGGCGGAGCATCTGAGACAGCAGCTGCCCATTCCCGGCCCCATCGAAGAGCTGCTGACCGAACTCAACAGCACCATCACGGACATCATCTCGACTTTAGTCACCAGGTGTGTGTTTGTGTGGGGGAGAGAGAGAATAGCAGTGAGGTTAAGTGATTGCAAAGTACAGTAACACAACCAATATCCTCCCTGTAATCAACATCATGCATTTTTACTATATGTGACCCTGGACCACAAAACCAGTCTTAAGTCACTGGGGTATATTTGTAGCAATAGCCAAAAAAACATTGTATGGGTGAAAATTATTGATTTTTCTTTTATGCCAAAAATCATTAGGATATTAAGTAAAGATCATGTTCCATGAAGATATTTAGTAAATTTCCTACTGTAAATATATTAAAACTTAATTTTTGATTAGTAATATTATGCATTGCTAAGAACTGCATTTGGACAACTTTAAAGGTGATTTTCTCAATATTTTGATTTTTTTGCACCCTCAGATTCCAGATTTTCAAATAGTTGTATCTCGGGCAAATATTGTCCTATCCTAACAAACCATACATCAATGGAAAGCTTATTTATTCAGCTTTCAGGTTATGTGTAAATCTCAATTTCGAAAAATTGACCCTTATGACTGGTTTTGTGGTCCAGGGTCACATATCTCTTTCTCGGCATTGCTACAATTTCAGTGGTGACTTCACAGTGTGTTTGAACGGATCATGTCAAGACGTTCATTACCTTCCTTCCTGTGTTCTTTATGTGTGTATTTTTTCACTCAGTATTGAACCTACAAGTCTAAGTGGGTTTAAGGAGGTTTTACATTTTGGAAAAAAAGGAAGGGGTAATTAGTAAATCTAGAAAAAAATTATTAAAGGGATAGTTCCAAGAAATACTCACACTCGTGGCATTTCTTACATATAATACAAGAATGTGTTGATCACTTTTTCCATCAAATTACAATGAATGGGCTTTCAAGCTTCAAAAAGGATGCAAAAGCACCATAAATGTGTCCAAGTTGTCCATACAACTCAAGTTTTCTGAAGCCATACAGTGCTTTGTGTGTAACAGAGAGAAATATAAGTTATTATGCACATAAATTATCTGCCCTACTTCATAGATGCATCATTCAGTGATTTGGATCAACTCATTCATTGAAAAAATCTGACTCAAAACACATAATTCATACATAAAATGGAGATTTTTACATCTCTTGTAAACAATCATGAATGCACATACACTCTCAGAAAAAAACGGTACAAAAGCTGTCACTGAGGTGGTACCTTTTAGGTACTAATATGTACACTTTAGGTACTAATATGTACCTTTAAGGTACCAATATGGACTCTTTAGGTACAAAGGTGTGCCTTTTGAAAGGGTACCACCCCAGTGACAACTTTTGTAACTTTTTTTCTGAGAGTGTAGGGCAGCTGTTTTTGAAAGTCTTATGCTCACCAAAGCTTCATTTATTTGCTCAAAAATACAGTAAAAACAGCAATATTGTGAAATAGTGTTACATTTTAAAATAACTATTTTCTATTTGAATATATTTTAAAATGTAATTTATTTCCATGATAGCAAAGCTGAATTTTTAGCATCATTACTGCAGTCTTCAGTGTCACATTATCCTTCAGAAATCATTCTAATGTGCTGATTTGGTGCTCAAGAAACATTTCCTATTATTATCAATGTTGAAAACAGTTGTGCTGCTTATTATTTTTTGTGGAAAACATAATGCATGATTTCAGGATTCTTTGATGAATAGAAAGTTCAAAAGAACAGCATTTATTTGAAATAGAAATCTTTTTTTAAATGTCTTAACTGTCACTTTTGATCAGTTGAATACATCCTTCATAAATAAAAGTATTAATTTCTTTAAAAAACACATATTATAAAATACTTGAAATATAGTGTGCAAGTCATATGTATCACTTTATAATACTTTCATTGTGCTCCTACATCCTTTTAGAAGCTTGAAATCCTTTTCTGCTCTGGAAGGAACAGAAAAGGTCATAATAAGGGTTTGCAATGGCAGGATGGTGAGTATATGATGACGCAGTTGTCATTTCTGGGTGAACTATCCCTTCACATTTTTAATTCTCACATTTTATGAAATGAAAAGATGAAAGTCTCCGTACCAGATGATTGAGTGTTCATGTATTATTCACCCTGCATGTGCTCATATCTGTGAGAAATCAACAGAGGCCATTTGTCATAGAGATCACTTTGGTGGCACACAGGGGGATGTCTACAAACTTCTGCTCTCCTTCACTCTCTTCTTCATAATATCTCAATCTATCAGCATTCACACCTACCACAGGGGATTAATGTGATGGTTCATTCGTGTGTGTATGCAGTCACTGAAACACTGAGCCTAATGGGAACTGTGCTTTTAACATCAGTGTCTGAATGGATCTCCATCAACCTGAGAAGTGTCACACTGGCTGTGTAACTATATAACATACATACCATAGCCACATATCAAAATTAATCCAATTTGAATTACTACAAATTTGTCAGAGATGTGGCCTGGTGAATAGTGCACATGCTCCAATATTGCTCAGTGGCACTTGTGCAACTGACTACTGACTAATCTTAACCTTGCCTCTAAATTAAAACTCTTAATTTTTAGGAAATAAATACATAAATAAATAACTGTTTATTTTTAAATATGTATAATTTTATCTATTTAATTAACCATTTATTTTTTATTTACTTATTTGTAGTTCCCATATTAAATAATTTATTTATGAATTATTATGTATTTTATTTTTTAAAAGGGTTCTATAACATTCATCTTACACCTGCATATTTTGGGTTTTTGCGCAAGTTTTCATGTAACGTTCTATTGCCCTTTTCCAAATGTAAATTTAGACTTTCCAAGTAGAATGGAAAGTAGGAAAAGTGCTCATGTGGGTGACATTACTTAGAATTTTTTAAATCAAAAATACAGTAAAAACATTAATATTGTGAAATTTTATTACAATTTAAAAATAACTGTTTTCTACGAAGCCCCTAAAGAGACCTTTGCAAAAATAAAAATACACAGACTATCACGTGCTCCCGATAAACTTTTGCGAGCTCACACGCTACAGTTTCCGGTTGCGTCACTCACTGCCGTCTTACAACAAAGAAAACAAAAGCATGTGCTGCGTCTCAATGTACCTACTTATACTACGCCCTTAAAGTATGTACTCTTTTGGTGAAGAAAAAGTACACACTTTTGAGTGTGTAGTAGAAGAGTAGGCAAGCTTTGGGACACACTATCACGTCACACAACTGCGTCTTTAACGGATGCTCTGTCGCATAGATACACGCACCCTGTCACTGTAAACTGGCCTGTCAATCATCTTGTCTCAGTTAACATCCTCCACATTGCATTTCATTTAACTTCCTACCGTATCGGAGAGAAAAGAAGTAGCACATTGATCTGCCAGTCGCGGGTCTTTCATGCCGAGAACTCTGCTCATATTTTATGCATAATGATGCATTTAAAGGTTAACGACCAAAAGGATGTTTATAAAAGTTTACATTGCTGTTGCAGATGAAATATAACACCGATAACATTAAATAAATATTTTTTACCAGGTTAAATGTTGAATATTAGTAACTCAAACCCCTTTTTCTAAGCCTCTCTACCTAACCGCCGGTCACGCACAACCGCCATGTTTGTAGTTTTTTTTAACGCGTTTTATTCGTGTTTGTAGTTCTGGACAGAATCCTTCACCAAAGCGCAATGGATTGTGGGCAATATATTAGCCATTACAGTGTGCACGGATCCACACTTCAAAAATCGACCTGAAATAGTAGACCAACCGGGGCATACTCTTTTCAACATATACTTTGGGACACACTTATTCTAATCTCACATACTATTTAGGATGGATAGTATGAACATTGAGACGCAGGGATGGAATATGTAGTATGGCGTTATTTTACTGACAAATGTCGAGAGCGCACTGTTGTAGCCATAGCACGAAAGTACATTAATATGATGTGCGAGCGCGAATCTCTCCGCTCGCACGCGGATTTCCTTTCCTCTCACACAAAATCGGACGCGCACTCTCAGATATGCGCTAGTCTCGCCCAAAGAGTGTGCGCGCACTTAAAACGTGTCTGTTTCAATCGCAACTCAAAGTGTGCCTGTGTGTGCACTCAAACTGTGTCCTTTGCACTCGCAAATCTCTCTGTGCTCTTGCGCTAGAAATTAATTATTTTCGCACCTGCACTAAACGTTGTCAAAAATTATCAACCAATCAGACTTCCACGACTGACTGATTGAAATTCTACGTGAAATCTAATTGGCTGAGAGGGAACTGCATCTGGAATTCTTTTGACAATCAAAGATGGATCTGCAATTTCATTACAATTTAATAATATTTAGTAATATTAATCAAAATTATATTAGAAATGGCTGGGATTGGGGTGCTTGGATGATTTGAACAAATAACCTAGTCTGTCTAACTGGTTGGTCAAACCCCTCTGAGCAATTTATCTAAAAACAACATCAGGGCTCGCAAAATTTCAAAATCCCTGGTAGCCCTTCAAGGCAGGCATTCTTCAGATTTTGGTAGCCCAAAAATGAATTTAACTAGCCCGAATAAAAGATAGTATTTTTTCTTCAAATAACGAGTCAAGAGAGTATTGGTGCAACGGATCACAAATCTCATGGTTCGGATTATATTACATTATCATATCACATTTTGAGTTACAGATCGGATCATTTTTCAGATGAGCAAAAAAAATATGGTTCTTTATCATTTAAGTAACACTTCTTATTTAAAGAACAATTTACTACTTCGATACCACAGCAAAAACTAGTAGCATATAGGGATGCAACGATTCACTCAACCCACGATGTGATATGATTCACGATACTGATTTCACAATACAATTTTCTCACAATTTATTTTTTAACAAAATGAGATTTAAGACAGATTTTAAAAAAGGTGTCCATTTGTTATTTCTCAGACCAAAAGGCTGCAGATTACTTTGTGAAACTGAAAATGTCAAACAATATACTAACTTGAAATTTTAAAACAAATCCTAAATCAAATAAATAAATAATACAAATAAAAGAAATGTTTTCGTGCAAGTAAACTAAGGTTTTGCCTGTGTATTTTAATCACGATCCAAACAAAGATGCTGCATACATGTTATTTAGATTGTAAAATTTTTACATGTGAAACAAAAACAAAATGGTCTGACTTTAGCTTTGTGATACTACATAAAAAATCTGAACGAAACAAAAACAGCAGACGGGCTGAATGAGATGCAAAAATTACGCAAAAATAGTTTCTCGATAACACGCAAAACTTTTCTCGTGTGAACGTGAAAGTTTCACGATAGCATGCAAAACTTTACTAGTGCGTACACGATAGTTTCTCGATAGCACGCAAAACTTTTCTAGTGCGTACACGATAATTTCTCGATAGCACACAAAATTTTTCTTATGCGCACGCAAAACTTTACTAGTGCGTACACGATAGTTTCTCGATAGCTCGCAAAACTTTTCTTGTGTGTACACGATAGTTTCTCGATAGCTCGCAAAACTTTTCTTGTGCGTACATGATAGTTTCTCAATAGCTCGCAAAACTTCTAGTGCGTACACGATAGTTTCTCGATAGCACGCAAAACTTTACTAGTGCGTACACGATAGTTTCTCGATAGCACGCTAAACTTTTCTAGTGCGTACACGATAATTTCTCGATAGCACACAAAACTTTTCTCGTGTGTACGTGAAAGTTTCTCATGAGCACACGATAGTTTCTCGTGAGCATGCAAAACTTTTCTCGTGCGCATGCGATAGTCTTGTGTATTTTTATTTTTGCAAAGGTCCCTTTAGGCGCTCCATAGATTTATTTTTTAATATGTTTTTACATGTAATTTATTCCTGTAATGACAAAGCTGAATTTTCAGGATCATTAATCTTCAGTGTCACATGATCCTTCAGAAATAATTCTAATATGATGATTTTAGTGCTGAAGAAACATTCCGTATTATTATCAATGTTGAAAACTGTTGTGTAAATGTCTTTTGGTAATGTCACTTTCGATTAATTTAATGCAACCTTGATGAATATAGATGTTAATTTCTTTCAAAAAAACTGATCCCAAAGTACGGTTGTGCTAGACTTGTGCCGGTATTCGATAATGCGATATATCACGGTAATGAATATGCACAATATTGTTATCATGGGCACTTCTAAATACCGTGAATAATTATATATTACAAATTATTCAGAATTGTGAATGCATTTTAAGAATACTTTTCCCATCAACTGGTCAAAATGCACAACATCGCTGTATGCTGTGTGAAAGACGGTGCGCACTCTGGACGAGAAGCACATGGTGGAACATGTGAGAGACGCTCTGGATGAAAGCGCACTTTATTGTTCGGTCACACTTTACATTAGGGCTTCATTAGTTAACATAAACTGCCAATGAAAAATTCTTCTGAACGTTCATTAATCTTAGGTATTCCAATATTTAATAACAGGTTGTTAAAATCAAAAGATTAATAACTTCTGTAGAAAATGTAGCTATTGCTCATCGTGAATGTTAATGCATTAACTAAGGTTAACTAATGAGGTCTTATTGTAAAGTGATACCTATTGGTCTTTATAGTTCTTTTGCACTTTAATCTGTGTAAAACTTTTAACTTTATACATTTTTCTGTATTGCTTTATTGTATTTAAATGTTCAGTTATTTTTGTTATAAGAAAAGTTATTATGAGCTATACTGCTATACTGTATTATGAGAGCACTTTTTTAAAACTAAATCTTAGGTATTCCAATATTTAATAACAGGTTGTTAAAATCAAAAGATTAATAACTTCTGTAGAAAATGTAGCTATTGCTCATCGTGAATGTTAATGCATTAACTAAGGTTAACTAATGAGGTCTTATTGTAAAGTGATACCTATTGGTCTTTATAGTTCTTTTGCACTTTAATCTGTGTAAAACTTTTAACTTTATACATTTTTCTGTATTGCTTTATTGTATTTAAATGTTCAGTTATTTTTGTTATAAGAAAAGTTATTATACCTGTTATACTGTATTATGAGAGCACTTTTTAAAAACTAAATTTCAATATCGTGATAATACCGTATACCGTGATAAAAGATTAGCAATTAATCGCAACATGAAAATTTGATACCGGCATATCCCTAGGTTGTGCACATGTTTTTTCTTTTTGAAATACAGTATATTTTATGGATATGGATGTACAGTAAATACATGTATGTGTGTGTTTGTTTTGTTTGCAGTACCTTCATCATCGAAAAGCAGCCGCCTCAGGTGCTGAAAACACAAACAAAATTTGCGGCGACAGTGCGTTTGCTGGTAGGTGGCAAACTGAACGTACACATGAACCCACCGCAGGTCAAAGCCACCATCATCAGCGAGCAACAGGCCAAGGCCCTGCTCAAGAACGAAAACACCAGAAAGTGAGTAGAAACACAACACATTGTATTTAGTAACTCCTCTGGGTGTAGTTGATGACTCATTGTGAACTAGCCTAATGCGCCTGGAGCTGCTAAAACAAAGCATGTTTCATCAGGCGCCCCCTGATGCATCATCCTACATTCACTAACACTCAACTTTTATGCACAAATACAATTTTTACCTGAATTTGTCACTTAATGGATCTTGATCTTAGATAAATTGCTCATCACCTTCTAGGGGTGTTGAAATTAATCGTTCCATCGATGTAATAGACCATAATTGATTATAGCCTACTGAGGTCATTCACATACACGCTTGTAACGCGAGTATTAAAAAAAGTACCCACTATTTTTAAATCCGAGATTTGGGCACATTTTGGAAAAAGCAAGCTTAGTGCGTAAAAAAAAAACATGTTTCAGTGTTTTACTTCAGATATGCTTTCATTGATTCCGTTGGGAATGCAGTACGTATTAGATGCACGAAACTCACGTACTGATAGACTTTCACGTTTGCTTTGTGTTTGTTTGTCCTGAAGCTTGATCGCGGCTGCGGTTAAATGCACTTGCATCTTCGAATACTTTTATGATACGAAATTGATGTAAACAAAGTCAGTTATGTTTTCAGAACAGGACAAAACATCTGTCGAAATAGATCTGTGCATTAGTGTGAATGCAGCCTATTAAAGCTGCCACTGTCTATGATCTAATCAGTAATAATCAAACAGTAATAATGCTGAGGAAAAAAAGAAAAACCCATAACTATGATAGTCTGTAAACTTTCGGATACTTAAAGCACTCTCAGATACTGAAAGTACTTTTTGTTTATCACTTGTAATGGGCTTTTTCCCCCTTTATTACTTTATATTTGCTTGTCTGTTTTGAAGCTATATTTATTTGGTTAAGTTCTTAGCAATTGTTTTGATTTATTATTAATTTGTATTTATTTTAAAAAGTAGCCTGCTTATTTTTTTAAATAAAAATGCTCAAGATAAATTTGATATATAATCGTGATGCATCGTTAGGGCTGGACAATAATTCAATTGATGAATAGAAAGATCCAAAGATCAGCATTTATCTGAAATAAAAAGCTTTTGTAACATTATACACTATTCCATTCAGTATAATTTTTATTATTTTTTTGGGAAAGAAATTAATACTTTTATTTAGCAAGGATGCTTAAAATTGATCAAAAGTGATGATAAAGGCATTTATGATGTTACAAAAGATTTCTATTTCAGATAAATAGTGGTCATATCGATATCGGAATTATATCGTATCGACCGAAATTAAGAAATATATCGTGATATCAATTTTGGCCATATCGTCCAGTCCTATGCATCGTTATATCGAATTGAATCGAATCGTTGACTTGATAATCGTAATCGAATCGAATTGTGAAACCAGTGGCGATTCACACCCCATCACCTTTTGTACGACTATGCAGAATAATATTCTCTGTGTATGTATGTGTCTGTCTAACAGTGACAGCAGTGGTGAGATCTTGAATAACAACTGTGTGATGGAGTACCACCAGACCACAGGCACTCTCAGTGCACACTTTAGAAACATGGTAAGTGCTGTGTGGCCATCTAAAATCTGACTTTAGAGAAAACTCTGTAAGATGAGTGTGTGAACTTGACTGAAGGGGTTTCTAAGTACTCTGTCAGCCACCATTTAAGTTTATTCATAATTTACTCTGTACCTGCTTAGAGAACGGGGCTCTATTCTCGGTTATGCATCAGCAGTGAATCCAGTTAACACTTAAGCAACACTTAGCCTGACATATAAATCAGTAGTCACTGCTTAGTGAACCTTTAGATAAATATGATACAATAGGCTGTATAGAGACTACGTAGATTACAATTTATTAACAAATTATCAAACCAAGTAGTATCTGAGCACTGTTTCTTTTTACAAAATAATTGTATTTGTCAACCAGAAAGTATCCACACAATCCTGCCTTAATTTCCACAGTATATTTTATTTTATAATTAAAATTATCCAAATTAAAAATTACTTGTGAAATATTTCACTTCAAAAGTGCTTATGTTTTTTAAAACTTTATTTATAATAAACACTTGGTTAGATCATTTGTTATCTAAGTTTACAATCTTATTCGTATGCAGTGAATGATATTTGTAAATGTAGCTTGAGTACTTTTTGGGGGTGTTTTATGTGATAGTGACTCGTGTTAAATAGGAAGAAGAAATTTAACTGCTTATAATGAAGTAAATATATATTTTTCTCTTTTCTTTCTCATGTGTCATGTAGTCTCTGAAGCGGATAAGGCGTTCAGACCGTCGAGGGGCGGAGTCTGTTACCGAGGAGAAGTTTACCATTTTGTTTGAATCACAGTTCAGTGTTGGGGGAAATGAGCTGGTATTTCAGGTTAAGGTGAGCTTGAGAGGTTGTGTGCCTAGTAAATGGTATCTGTCAGGAACCGCTTAAAGCAATGTAGCAAAATTAGATCATAGTTAGCCACAAAGATATACCAGCAGGACCGGTGTCTGAAGCACGTGTGAAACAACTCCAATCCCATTGGCCCATGTAGCCCGTGATGTCACAGGCGGGTGCTCGGAAGAGAGCGCCTGCTGAATCAGCACCAAATGTCTGAAGGACATGTGAAAACAGGCAAGCCCTATGCATGGCAATGGGACACAGCATCTCGTTCCCTCTCGGGGAACTGTGGTTATGTGCGTAACCCGAGACGTTCCCCTTCTAGGGAACTCGCGCTGCGTCCTCTAGCGGACACTGTGGGGAACGGAAGCCACTGACGGCTCGGGGCACTAACATAACTCGGCAAAATGGGGAACCCAGCCAATCAGGAGGGATTTTCCATTAACCAAGCCAAGAACACAGCTATCCTCAGAAGGCTATGTTACAATGGGCCAAAGCAGCATGCAGGCCCCACTTAAAAACCCCTGACTAAGCTTAAGGGGTAAAGGGAAGTAGACCACTACTTAAGTTTTCTACTTAAAACCCTAGAAAAGAGGCTCAGGGGGCTGCCTACTTGGAAAAACCCTGATAAGGGGGGCAGCCCAACCACTTGTGTCAGAAACCTCGGACACGGAGGCACACACTTTCTAAAATGCTCACTTGCCTCGGTTTTCTCCATAACATCTTCACACTTACTGACAAACAAACGGCTCGTGAAGAAAATAAAAGTTGGTGACGTATTTGGTAGGCGCCCTCTTATACTTCTGGGCCAGCAGGTGCTCTCTTCCGTGCACCTGCCTGTGACGTCACGGGCTACATGGGCCAATGGGATTGGAGTTGTTTCACACATGCTTCAGACACTGGTCCTGCTGGCGGCAGTCCCCATAGTGTCTGCTAGGGGTCATGTTTCATAGCGTGGGTGTTGATTGAATGGCTGATGGCATCTGACTCACGTTCCTTTACTGTACATGCTCTACGTTTATTCTCTTTAAAGGAACGGTGCATCCATACATTTAAATCCTGTCATCAGTTACTCACCCTCATGTCATTTCAAACCTGTATAACTTTTTTCTTTCCTGGAACACAAATGGAGAAGTGAGTTAATAACAATAAAAGCATTTAAAAGTAGTACATAGAAGTCCGTACAGGTTTTGTGTAATATCAGATCATTATGAGTCACTAATATGGTTTTCTTCAAGGCAGCAGTGAGTGGCATCCATACAGAACATGTTAGATGCTTGTGCAAATCAAGCAGGATGTGATGAGTGCAGGAGTTGATGTAATATATCCCTCTACACTGCCATGAAATTTCCCTGTTCCTGTCCTAAAAAACAGCCTTAAAAGCAAAGTGATTGTGACCCACTGAGAACCTGCCTAATGAGACACTTTCCAACTGTAAAAGGTTAAAATGTATGATAATGTACTCATTTTCTTGTTCTCTCTCAGGGCCGGGTGCCTTTCATTGTGCCCGACAAGGTGTTATGGCCGCAGTTGTGTGAAGCTCTGAATATGAAGTACAAGGCCGAGGTGCAATCAAATCGAGGTCTGTCTGAGGAGAATCTTGTCTTTCTCGCTCAGAAAGCCTTCAGCAGCTCCTGCGTCAACCCGGAGGACTACCGCAACATGACCATGACCTGGTCACAGTTTAACAGGGTAAATACGCTTTTTCCTGTGATGGTAAAGCTGAATTTTCAGCATCATTACTCCAGTCTTCAGTGTCACATGACCCTTCAGAAATATAGGATATTGGATATTGGATTTGAAATGTAAGTTGCAATTTTAAACCAGTAAAAATATCAGTCATAATGACACATAAAGACCTCTGCATTCAGTTGCACTCCGTATTGAATATAATCAGTTTTGTACTTCAATATTACTCATGAAATCATGGTTTTGACAGCTTTACACAAGCTTTGATTAAGCTGAAAGCAATATGGCCTATTATTTCGCAACAAATTCTGACCGTGACTGTGACCTGCTGCTTGTTACCCAAAAGCACCGCCGTTATCGAGCGATGTTCTCACAGATGGTTTAATCCCAAACTGGTGTCTCATCGTCCTCGACTTTTTCTTCATTTTAATTGGCAATCCGTCGACCTGGGGCAGAAAGTTAGTTGATCTGATCGACATTGCTTTTCGTCCATTGCAATAGTTAATGGTTATTCAGGAAGTGAGGTGTGATCTGAGAGCTTTTGATGTGTAGGCAGGCCTAAGGCTGTGGCTGCCTTTGAAACGGCCCTTTGCTGATCTGCTACATTGAGCGGGCAGTGTTCTCAACAAGGACCTTTGGAGTTCAGGCATCGTTTGTGTTTATGGCTTTGTTTATGTAGTCACTGACACAATGCTCACATATGCACACACTTGCACAAAGTTTGTGGGAAGCCTGATGATGATTTGAGATGCTATAAAGAACATCTAAAGCTTAAATGGAAACAAGATCAGAATATTCTGCACTATTAGATCACAAATTTACAAATGTCACAAATTGCTTATTTTGTTTAGTGACCTAATAATGCAGAATAATATATATCCAGCCAGCCAGCCAGCAACATTTGACACTGTAACATTTGCCACATTTTGCAACATTTGACACTTTTCAACATTGACACTATTGAAATAAATAAAATAAATCAAAACTGAACTAAACAGCTGAATAATGACGGTATTAATAATGAAATTCAATTTGTTTAATAACTGATACATTTTGCAGCATTAACACTCTTTATTTTCCTGCTTTTCTGAAGCTGCTTTGAAACGATCTGTATTATATAAAATGCTATAGAAATAAATGTGGCTTGACTATTTATTTCCATGTTTAAATTAGATTCTAAATTCCAAATTTTCACATTTGAACCCCATTGTACATGTTCAAGAGACATCTGTGTGTTTGTGTGGCTCTGTGTGATCTTCATGCTAACAGTTGAAATGGTCAGGACATTGTGTTCTAAGAAATAGAGTGATTAAAGTGAAAGAGATGGAGACGAACGCTTCCTGTCTTGAGTCCTAAGTAATGTGACTTTGCTTGTGGATCACTAATTAAAAACAGAATGAACATGAGGCAGTGGATCATGCTCTCATTCAGGCAGTCATGCCTGTGTTTCTTAAGCCCTGAATGTTCCCTTTACCGCGCACACTTCTAGCTGTGTACTGTCTGATTTGTGTCAACTCCATGTCCATTTCCGATGAACGCATTACTTGCGAGGAACACGTACCAGGAATTCAGCAGATTGTTCTTTCATAATTCCATGCTTTGTTTTTCATAACTGTTAAGCATCTGCGAGGAAACAAGCTTCATACATACTTTGATGAGGTTCTAGTCCACAACATGCTACTAGGGCTTATTTAACACTGTAGATCTTTACACACACTCTACAAAAAGTAGATGTAACTAATAAAATTAATCTATGTAGGTAAATATTGTAAGTGAACCTTACTCAACATGTATTACTTTCTTTCTTCTGCGGAACATGAAAGAAGATACGAGATTTAAAAGAATGTTGGTAACCAAACAGTTTAAGTGACCACTGACTTTCATTGTATGGAGAAAAAAAAAATGTAAAAGTCTCTTTTTTTTTTTTTTGTTATAAAGAAAGTAAGTCATTCAGGTTTGGAATGCCGTGAGAGTGACTAAAGTTGACATGATTTAAAATCTGATTGTAACAAATAACCATCTATATTAAGTAACTGTAAGAAGATTTCTTAAGTTGCATCAGCTCTATGAAAAGTGTTCCCTTTATTTTAATCTCACATTTCTCAAGTTACTAAGTGTGACAACATAATCAGCAATAACAATGCAAGTAAAGCTTGCAAATGGTAAATCTGTCAAAGAGGTTGAGATGCCTCAGTTTTGTTTTGGTTGTTTGTTTTTAGAACTTACAGAATACAAATTTAGGTAAATCTATAGTTGTTGTTTTCTCAGCATCATTACTCATTTACTGTGCATGTTAGTCTTTTAAACCTGATTTGTTTCTTGTCATTGTAGGAGAGTTTACCAGGCAGGAACTTCACTTTTTGGCAGTGGTTTGATGGTGTGATGGAGCTTACTAAAAAACACTTGAAGCCTCACTGGAATGACGGGTAAGAACTGACCTCTGTGAGAACATGAACATATAAATCACATTCCTACAGATTTAATGTCAATGATAACAATTCATCCATGTGTAAAAGCTAAAAAAAAAACTATATAAAAGTAATAGAATAAAAGCCGTTGCTCCTCTCTGCCCTCACATAACAATGACATCTCAGCTGAGAATGCTGCCGTTTATGCCGTATGAACCAGCGGGGTGAATCTCACAAAGAAATGACTGTGACGTTTGTTCGTATTTCAGTTATGTGACTTTAAATGGAAAATCCACTTAATTAACAGACAAGAAAATGGCACATTGGTTTATTTCTGAAAATTCATGGACACTTCTCATAGTTTCGGTACATTTCACCTGGCTGCTCTAATGGAAATTGTTAGTCATAATGTATCACATTATTAAATCTGGTTCTTATTTTATTTTATTTTTTGCGTGGGTTTTTAATAGATATCTTCATTATGAAGTGCTTCTTTGCCATGGCAACTGGCTGATTGAGAGATAGTGCTGGTTAAAACTATACATTAAAGGCATTAAACCATGGATGGATTAACACAGGAGTAAGATCTGAGAGACCTCTTGCGGCTTTGATAAGATCTCTTTCAACCCCCAGTCGTCCGTATCTTGTAATCTTTGTATACAAATCATAATGAAACTGAACAGTACACAAACGATAACAGCCTCTCTGTCTTTGTGTGTGTAAACATCCTTTTATGCGTTTGAATATGTATATGTATATTCAAACACAATATGTATATGTGTTTGAATGTCTCAGGGCGATTCTTGGCTTTGTGAATAAACAGCAAGCTCAGGACATGCTGATGTCCAAACCCAACGGAACCTTTCTGTTGCGCTTCAGTGATTCTGAAATTGGTGGCATCACCATAGCCTGGGTGGCAGAGAACCCTAACAAAGCAGGTAGAACCATTACTCTGCTCCTCCACTGCCATTCCTCAACACACTTAATTGCACGTTATAATATTCTGTTGTATAATAGGGACATTTTATGCATGGTATTTGAAAACAAATCACTTACAGTGGCTTTAAATGCTCTTAAAACTATTTCAAAACTTCTGCTAAAGAGTGTGTATGTGTGTTCTTCATAGGAGAAAGGATGGTGTGGAACCTCATGCCATACACAACCAAAGACTTCTCTATCCGCTCCTTGGCGGATCGCATCAGCGACCTGAATCATCTCCTGTTCCTCTATCCTGACCGGCCCAAAGACGAGGTCTTCTCCAAATACTACACCCCTCCACTGTGTAAGCTTGATCTCTATTTATCTACATATTTTTCATCTTTTTTGACATGGTATATCCAGTGGTGTGAAAAAGTGTTGGCCCCCTTCCTGATTTCTTTTTTTTTTGCATGTTTGTCACACTTTAATGTTTCTATGTGGAAAATAATGTGTTTTTTGAACCTTAAACCGCATAAACACATTTCATTACACCAAATACACAAAATAATGTTATTTTTAGCAACATCATATGACCTCTTTAAGAAATTAATACTTTTATTCCACAAGGATGTATAAACTAATCAAAACTGGCAGTAAAGATAATTGTAATGTTACGAAAGATTTCTATTTCAAGGATGTTACTCTATAAATGAACTTTTATTCATCAAAGAATCATGAAAATCACAGTTTCCTCAAAAATATTAAATAGCTGTTTTTAAAATTAATAAAAAGAAGATCTTTTTGAGCACACATCAGGACACTGACGTCTGGAGTAATGATGCTGAAAATTCAGCTTTGAAATTACATTTTAAAATATATTAAAATGGAAAACAGTCATTTTATTGTAATATCTCACAATATTGCTGTTTTTACTGTATTTTTGATTAAATAAATGCAGCCTTGGTTAGCTTTGACATATTTCAAAAAACTTTTTTTTTTTTACCAAGCCCAAACTTTTGAATGGTAAAATATTTATTCAAAATGATTTATATGCACAAATATTACATATATACATATATAATATAGCCAGTAAAAACCATTATAAATACATTGCCAGCCTGTGTGTTTGCATGTCTGTGTGTTCATGTCTTTGGGTTTAAACGAGAGTGTATCACTCTGGCTAATCTAGCATGTTTGTGTTTGTCTGTGTGTGTTCTCATTCACATTCATAATGTGAGCCAGTGTTATGTTATGGTTTAGGAATAATCTGTTTATCTTTCCCACCTCTATAGCTAAAGCTGTGGACGGATATGTAAAACCACAGATCAAACAAGTAGTGCCAGAGTAAGTACACACACACACACACACACACACACACACACACACACACACACTTTGTCTCTGTGTTTTTCTAACCTCTCAGTACAGGTCTTCACATCTCTGAAATTCAAGAGCTAACCTGTTAGCTCCAAGCGATAAATCTAATTGCACGCTATCATATTAGTGCTGGCCTGACTCTATGGGCAGTTATTGGTTGCCATGGATACTTGAGACTCCACTCACTCCTCAGCATATATTTAGCTCTGTTAGCCTCATTAGCAGCATTATTTATCCATAGGTGGATGACCCCGTTGGTCTCGTTAGCAAGCCTTCCACTTCGGTCATGCACAGCAGGGAGTGAATACACCATCAGACTCAGATAATTCAGTTCTAGTCATCAGCATTCTGAGGGAGTCATTATCAAACTAGCTCTTAATTTTGAGGGTTAGCAAGAGCTGTGTGCAGAGTAGCAAGCTGTGAAATAGAGCTGAACAGAATGAATGAGCTGAACATGTCTTTTGTTATTTTTGGAGGTTTCTGGCATTTTATTGAGGGGGAGAGAAAAGCAGGGTGACAGGAATTGTTATGGGAAGCTGTATCCATATATAACAGACTTTAAACTCATTTCTCAATATTAGATGAAAAACTTATATTTAAAAAACTTTATAAATATTAAAAAAACAGAGAAATGTTGCAACTAACTGAAATAAAATGTTGAAGTTGAAAGACTAAACTTACTCAAATTAAATTTAACTGGGGAAAAAAAATTAAAACCAAATTTAAATACAACTAATCAAAATGACAAAAGTATAGGCCTAATATAACAATGAAAATATGAAAATAAAAGCTAATTCATAAGAATAAGAATAAATACTGTAACAGTATATAAATAAGACTAAAAATAAGACTGATGATGTTAAATAATTGACTATTTATGTGTGCATGTGTGTTCATGCAGGTTTGCGACACCTAACCCCGACCCTGCAGCAAACCCCACCTACATGGACCATGCAGCATCTCCAGCTGTCAATCAACCACATGCTTATGGACTCTATCCTCCCATGTGAGTACACAAATATGTGTGTTTTCTTTCTGTCTGTATGTTTCTGCATCTGGCTTGTTATTGTTAACTAAAACCAGAACTATTAAAAGTAATTTTTGTTCATTGAAATAAAATAAAATATAAAATAGTAGACAATTAGAAATGCTGCTTTGGCAAATAACAGAAATAAAATAAGCCTAAGTACTAATATTACTAAAACTGATACTGAAAATTACTAAATTACTACAACTAAAAATTATACTAAAATTACTAAAACTAAAATTAAAATGAAAACTGAAGATATAAAAATAAAAGCTAATTAAATTAAAAGCTAGCATTAATAAATACTACAATGGTATATAAATAATACCACCATAATCAGGCAAACATTTATTATTATTATTATTATTATTATTATTATTAGTTAAGTAATTTGATTATGAATCCAATATGTTTCTTTGACAATTAGAAATGCTGCTTTGGCAAATAACAGAAATAAAATAAGCCTAAGTACTAATATTACTAAAACTGATACTGAAAATTACTAAATTACTACAACTAAAAATTATACTAAAATTACTAAAACTAAAATTAAAATGAAAACTGAAGATATAAAAATAAAAGCTAATTAAATTAAAAGCTAGCATTAATAAATACTACAATGGTATATAAATAATACCACCATAATCAGGCAAACATTTATTATTATTATTATTATTATTATTATTATTAGTTAAGTAATTTGATTATGAATCCAATATGTTTCTTTTTTTTTTTTACCATGCTTAAATCAATTCTTCAGTTTTTTCCTTCAGATCAGCACAGAAAATATTTGTTGATTTCATCTGGACCACCACATGCTGTAACATATAATAACAGATATTATAGTAAATAACCCTCTAAAATGTGCTGTATATCCTATGGAATTTATGTTATTGCAGTGGCGCCTGCAGGTGTACGGCTGTACGCACTGTGCGTACCATGAGCGCTCAGACTGACCTGAGATTTGCCCCGCAAACATTTCAGCAGTTATTATAGGTCTGTGTATTTCTGTCGACTGAACCAGTCATGCCATTAATTATGAATTTATCAGTGTTTTGCATGCCAAAGTAAATTTCTGCATAGAAATATTACGCCAAATAGAAGCAGAAAATCGTGCTATACGCACTTTCATGAGATCAGGTTAGCCTACAACAATTAATTTGTAGGCTATTTTACAAATGGTAATACAACGAATTCATGACAATGTTTTACATTCAAGCTACCCGTAAAATTTATAGTGAAAAGTACTTTAAAAGCGTCTGGAATCCAATAAAGTAATTTTTTAATGCTGTTTTTAAAGCATTTGCTGCATGGATTAAAAAAATAGGCTAATAAATAATTCACATATCAGACAAAATTGCGTTGCAGCAAATCTTTTAAATTTTAATGTATTCAGAACAGAGCAACATAAAAATCAGAAAATATAA